CTTTGCCTTGCTGATCACTGGGGGTTGGGCCGGCAAAAGGCTCGTGGCACTGGCGACCAAGCCCAACGAGCCGCCTCGGTTTCGGGTTGACGTGGGTTGGCAGTTCGGGGTAGGAGGCCGTCCCTTGGAAAGGGGGGAAGTCAGGGGCAGCCTCAGAGCTGATGCCTGCCCAGTTGTACTGTAAATGCGCAGTTGGACCATGTGCTGCACCTGAGTTCCTGAAGTACATGCACAAAGGCCTTGACCCTGAACAGCGTAATAGCCTACTTCAAAAGCATTTTGAGAGCAGCCCATGCGTCCAAAAGCGACGACGCTTCCACTTCATGAGGAACATGCGCACAGGATCGAGGCGATAGCTCCAGTTGCAAAAGCGCGAAAAGCGAAGCCCTTAGAAAGGACGCTCGAAGCGAACCCATCCAAGAGGCCAACATGCGGAAAAAGTACGTGCCTGCCAGGTTCTCGCGACACGGACATCAACCTGTGCATGGGAATCTACAAGTAGGCGGGAGCACGATTTCGAGCACAGTACGTTATGTGTGGGCGACCTAGGCGAGAAGGCGATTTGGCAGACAAAAAGCACGCTATCATGCAATGAGCAATGTTTGGCACACCTCTTGACGTTTGCAGGCCTGGAAATGCATGCAATACAAGTGGCATCTACATTGCACTTACATGGCAAGAGCTTCGTGGACATGCGAAAACATCGTCTGCGACACGAATTGCGCACGGCGCCTAGGCGAGAGACCGGGACCACACGAAGGTCATCGATTTCTCGAGGCCCATTTACATGCGCGTGAGGTCACAGCGATCTGGTTCCTGTTGCTCCCAACATAAGAACCCCGAAGTGCAGCACTGCTTTGGAAAAGGCCACCCCCTTTCAGAGCCCAGAGCTAAGCCGTGCACTAAGCAAGAAGGCATCAACAGGCACTTGAGGCATGTCCTGGCTGAGGAGACGTTACACAGCAGTAGGGATGAAAGACGAAATCTGAGCTCTAATTGATCTCAGACTTGCTTCCACCGTTTCAACAGACTGTGTCGACACTGTAGACTTCAGCCTTCGAAATGCTTTGTGGCATGATTGAAGGCTGCCGTCGCCCCGTCGAAACGCTGGGCAAAGTCGCCAGCACAGGCCACCAACTAGTCTAGCAACCTTCCATGGTACGTCGCTCTAAGGAAAGCTGAACACCGGAGCACCTTCTGCCACCTTTCTGCCTGATCTACTGTCAGCACATGACCCAATCGTCAACTCTAAGCCCAACTCCAAGCCCCGGACCATGCTGGACCATGCCCCCCCCCCCCCCCCGAAACCATGCAACGCAACTTCCCCTCCCAAAGATGCGCCGGCTGCACCACAGCCAGGGCCTGGGTTGCCAAAGGCTCACACACTGAAGGGCGGCGTTTTTGTCAGGGCTTTGGGCCCGGGATTTTGGCAGGTTTGCCATTTTTCTGAGGATGTTTAGGGTTACTTTCCCATGCCTTCGCCTTAACACCATGAGGGTGCGAGACTAGACCTTCCGAGCTACAGGGCTTCTGGTTTCAGTGCTCCCGCACGTGTTTTTGCACTTCTGAGACGCGTTATACCTCCAGCGTGGATTCGATGGGGGGCACCATGAAGAAATTCAAGCCTACTACATGATGCACGGCTAAACATGACATAACAACAACGAAGAGGAGAGCTGGAGCTCCTCCTGCAGCGTGACTCGGCATTTTTTTGATCTGAGGGCAGCCGAAGGGTGCAGCGACTCGGTGTTGGCCTGCAGAGATATTACTGGCACGTTCACGTTTGCCGGCCGCACATGCCTTTCACCTTGCAAACCTCCTCCCGAAGGTCCTAAAATCTAGAACAGTCTTCACAAAGGGTGGCGTTGTTCTTTAAGGTGCTGGTTGCTGCAACTGGGCTCCTGGGAAGAAAAGATTGCATCTCGCTGCCCTGCTGCCATGATAGCTTCGCTTTGTAGCCTCAAGGCTGACACCAGCCAGCCTGAGAACATCAACTTCTCGAAGAGCCGGTCGGCGGCACGAAGGTAAGGCTGCCAGTCCTGCACCGCAGCCACACCCACACAGCCAAACATGGCCGCCGTACCTACCCTGCCTACATTTTTGTCGCTACTACCAAGAATATGCATGTCAGAGAAATGCCGCAATGCCCCCCTTGATCCTTGCTTGCAATGGAACCCACACCGGGTACAAGTCCCTAAGTCTGATCGCAAGCCCATCAGGGTCCACCACATCTCGCCACAGCACTTCCTGCAGCAGTCACGGCTCGGCCCTCTGAAACAAGCCACAGACATTAAGACCCTCCGCTCCAGCCTACCCAACCATGAGACCTAACGGTGGAGACACCACAGAGCCAAAGGCAAAAATCAATAATTTGGAATTTGGTGGGGCCTTGATAAATCGCAGATGAGTTTCCGTTCAAGAACAGGGACAAACTTGCCGAAGGGAATCTTTCAAGTTTATATTTACCACGAGGCCCTTCTTAATCCGTAGATCCTAAGTGACCCGCCCACATCCTGCACTCCGACCCCTGAAGCTCGCTCAGGCCTTCGCTGCAGATGTCTCCTGAGGTTTCTGTGCGGAGCTTGGTTGACTCACGTATGGTAAGGTTACGAACGAGTTGGTGGCAGGTTGTTTTTGAGCAACGCGGTCTGCAGATGCCGGCTGCTGATTCAGCTGCTGGTTTTGGGAGTTCCAGATTCTCAGCAGTCCAAGCGGCATGGAACTGGTGTGCTGATGCAAGGCTCATGTGACATCTCCACAATCCCCTGATAAGATGTCCAGAAAACGCCTCAAGATCCCACATGCTGCTGAAGCCAGATTTCACGAAAGGGTCGTTGTCTGAAGCATGAGAAGTGCCTGGCGGGCCTGGCCGAGCCCAAGACGTTTGCAATCCCCATGATCAACCTCATTTCTCCTTCATAACCTCTCTAACATCGTTCACCCTAGGCCTAGGAGTCTCGTCATGATCGTCAGAACGCCGCCCAGCGGCCCCACTGGGCGCGCCGTGGTGCCGCGACCCGCGGCCCAGCGCCCGCAGCTCGGAGAGCAGGGCCTGGCGGCGCCACAGCAGAAAAAAACGAAACGCGGATCGCCCAGCGCGAAGCACCAAGCTTAAGGGAAAGAAAGATGCTCCTTCGTCAGGGCACAGAATGCAAGCGCCAGCTTCCAAGCTCAAAACCTTTCATCTTGGGGTCTTCTGCAGACTGTGATGCAAGTGCTGCTGCGTGATTGCCACAAGTATGTTCAGTTTAAACATGTTTAAATTATCTCATACCCAAAGACGAGCCTCTGCGTGGCGGCCATGCAGTCTGCTTCGCCTTTCCTGCACGGGTTTGCAAAGCAGATGCGCCTCTGCAAAAACAAGCGGGAACAAAAAGAAACTGACCAACAACCATATCCGTGCAGGCTTGTCCCCCAGCTGCAACAGGGTGCCTGCGACAGGAACCGGAGAACGCAGCGGGCAGTGGCATCAAAATCCTCTCTAAAATGACGCAGCGAAACCGTCAGCACGCGATCTGTCTCATTCCAAAGCCTGGGCAGCTTGGGCTGAGGGATGAATGAATGAAAAGTCTCCCCTGTTCTCTCCTCGTACATGAGCGTGGCAAGCGTTAAAAAAATTAGCATACACGCAGGAGGCCTGCTTGTGACTGGTGAGTGCTTCTGGGCATTGCATGTGAGCAACGGTGCAACTATCGGCAAAGCAGCCCTGCCCTCAAAATTGCCGCCAGAAGCTTCATGTTGTGCATCATCTTCAGAATCTCCCATCGAGTCCGCCAGGCTTCCAGCCACAAGCCGCCGGCCGTGGAACTGTTCTGAAGGAGCTGGAAATACCTCAGAGATCGTGATATGTGATTTAAAGGCTGTGGAGTGGCGTGCCACCGCGGAAGATGGTGCAGGGTCCATGTGGGGGGGGGGGGGGGGTCCTATTTGCCGCAGCCCTCAGAGGTCTCGAGCAGGACACCCTCTTTCGTTCATCAGGCTGGGGGGGGGGGAGGTTGGAGACTTTAAAGTGTGTTCTCGCAGGTCCGTCCAACACATACTGTAGCAACGCGTGTATCGCTGTGGTGAGCACATGAAACACTTGCGTGAGCAGAAACAGACTGTTGCTCCCTTAGGGGTTGGGAGGAGACCTCCGTACCCTTCTTGAAACATGCTTCAACATGCCGGCACGGACGCACGATACGCACTGCCGTGTGCCGGGCTTGTGGGGGTAATGATAGGCTCCTCATAAGGATCAGGAAGGGCCCGATGTCTTCTTTGCAGCTGGCCGGCGAGCACTGGAAGCCACAGGTGCGGAAGATCTCCCTTCAGGGAGTGGTCGTGCCAAAGGGGCATTTACGAATGCTTAGTTCTGGTGGCAATACTTGGGTCAGGAGCTTCATACCATCTGTTTGGGGGGCCTTGTGCATGGTCATTCAGCCTCTAAGCCCCATTACCACAGAATCAGTTTCTAAAGTGACCTAGCGCCAAGAACATGAACATGACTTGGTATGCAGAGTATGCCGCGTTCAAGCTTGGGCAATGCGCGATCCTTGCAGTGCTTTATGGGCTGAAGTGAAGGCTCCTGGTGCCACTTTGAAACCTGTCGAAGCATCGCTAACAGCAACTAGCTGAGCCTGCAAAGACGCTTCTTTTCAACGCTTGCGGGCTTCGGGGTCTTTGGGCTGGCTGCAAGTCCGTCGCTTCTTTGCGAAACGCTCTGCCCCCCGGGGCATGCTCGAAGAGCCGTGCAGGGACAAGGACGGCCCTGCCGGTTGTGATCGAGGGTTCAGGTTCAGCAGGAAAGTGCCAGCACCACGTGAGAGATCTCCCAGAAAGAGACTGAAGCGGGCCTCTTGTGCTTGTGGTTGGAACCGACTTCCGCATTCTGACTCCTTCTTGGCCTCCTTCGTGCCTGACGATGAGAGTGCGCGCCAAAGACGTGGCCGACGAGGAGAAGACCCAGCAGCGGCTTCACTCTCCGCACCGCGTCACAAGATGCAAAATCATCTCAACGAGTTTCAGCCACCCTGGCTCACCACAGACTTGGCCGCCAGAAGGCAGAAGCTCGCGACCATGGACGTGACCTGGTAGTGAAAGCAGTATAGCCGTACATAAGAAGCTCCAGCCAGATCCCGCATCTCACGAGACCCTGAAGTGTCTTAGACATGTTGCGATCCCTTTTCATCGAGGATGCTCCTAACTAGCCGAAGCGTGCTCCGTAAGATGTAGTTGTTGGGGCTTTGGCCTCGGCTTGCCAAGAATAAGTACCATGCGTTGAGGGCAGTGGATTCTGACGAAGCTGGTTATCGTGTCGTCGATGAATCCCGAAACCTGGCCTCCGCCGAAAAGGACCTGTGCCCACACAACCTTCCCCAAACGCGAGTCACTTTGATGGCGCGCGCACACACAAAAAACAACAGGGATCTGCATTGCTCAAAGCGGCCGTGCAGAGAAAGGGCTCCACCGCTGTGTCTGAAAGGTTCCTTCGTAGGATGTTGGGGAACACAGTTAAACGGCAAGACGGGAGGTGTAACCAAGTGATGAGTGGTACTTTTGCCCCACTGGTCATATCTTAGCCTGGGAGGCTGGCACCACAGCCGGCTTTATGTTCAACATAGAGCAGAGAGGTGCCATCGAGGCACCCATGGGAGCCCTCGGCCAAAGCCGCAAAGACCCGATCGAACATCTCTGGACCGTGCCTTTGCGAAGTTGGCTTGCAATTTTTGAGGCTTTAAGGCTGAATTTCTCAGTACCCTCCCCGGCTGAGCGCATGGTTTCTCAAATAAGGCCTGTCGGCTGTAAACTGACGGGACCTCAAACTCACTCACCTTTCTCAACGATGCTCAAGCACACTGGACGCTGCAGTTGCAAGGTTCATGCGCAACTCGGACACCCTACCTCTAAGCAATTGCAAGCATCGAAATGCATGCACACAGTCGCCGTAATTAACCAGGAACCGAGGCCCGTCAGAAACCCCAAGGTCTAGGTGTCTAGCTAAACCGATCGTTGACTAGCATCCGCTGCAGCAGCCTAGCGGCATCTCAGGCAAGCGCCTGGACGTTGCCAACATGTGCACCTGATGGCAGCGGTCTGGGCTGAAAGACAGGCCAAAACATCAGATTGACGCTGAGCCCGAATATCGCCAGATGCCGACAATACCTTCCGCTCTTGATCTACAAATCTGGCAGCTCAGGCGCTTCGTCCAACCACGCCGCTCGCGAGGCAGGGTCGGGATTCGTGCAGGCCTCCATACAGATCACAGGTTCACAGGAAGCACTGTGTAAGGCGTGAAACGCACGAAGCGGCTGTTGAGCGCATGACTGCCTTAGCGCGTCAGGCGCTAGACACAGGCTGCATACCATCATCAGCAGCCAGGGTGCTCGTGCTCCCAATGTGGCACGTTCCCGTGCGAAGTGGAGGTAGTAGTCTGCGAGAAGCCTCCGGACGGCAAGTTGGCAGGAGCATGATCGGACCCCAGAAACTCTGCAAGATGTGAAAACAATTCTGTGCAAGTTTTCCGCACTCCTTCATGATTCACAAGTTGGTTAGGGTCTGGGCTTCAATGGACTTTACATCCTTCAGCCCTACCAAGACCTTCCGTAACACCCCCTCCCCCCCACAAAAGGTGACGAGCCACTGGGCGAGGTGCAAGTCCCGGTAGGCTTGGCGCCTTCGCACGTGGCTGTGGAGGGCCGTGGGGGGAGAAGAGCTTCTTGGGGCTATGAGGATTGCAAGCAGGCTTGAAGCGATTAGAAGCGCCCTGCTGAAGCCGGCATCAAGGGCAAGGCGGCCAAACCAGTGACTTTGACTGCGCCAGGTTGCTGCCAAGCATGCTGCTGGTCAAGCGCCTCCCAGATTTGCAGATTGCAGGAGGTCTCGGTTGGGGCTGCGGATTGCGATAAGTTATTTAATTATTGTACACGAAAAAGTTCCGAATAAGCATTGTTTCGGACTTCAGGTCTCGCCTCCCAGCGTACGCAAAACCAGGTCTCAAGTGCATTGACTCCGGCCTCTTGCAGCTTGTGGGCATTTGAAAGACGAAGCCGGAAGGCTTCCTGTCTCAAGGGGAGACGCAGGTTGTTGAACGGTTGTTGTTCGATCTGTTCTTCTCAGGTTCTTGTAAGGGCAACCCGGTCTCGAGATGCAAATGCCGAAAGTGGCGGATGGCTGCGAGTACAGCTTCCAACTTGCACTGCCGCCTGCGCATACATAGCTCCACAGCCGCATCCAACCTCTCCCTTTCCATCACCTCTCCTATAGTCCTAATCGCTCAACTTCTTTTTAAGAACAATCAAAGAGCCCCCAAACTCTGAGGCCAAACCCTTTGGGCCTCCACGGGCGGGGCAGCACCGACCCGGGACCCGAGCCCGCGGGCATCCTGATTCGGGATTGAGAGTTTAAGGTCCTCGCCCCTGACACGCAATCGAGAAGGACATGTGGGCCCTAGTAGCGGTGGCATCATGCGCAAGGGCTCATCACCACCCTCACAGCTCATGAATGATGTGTCCCATGTGGCCTGAAGGTCACAGGAATGCTGTTCCTACTGGACCTCTGTCGACAATGAATGCCGATGGTCCTTCCAAAACATAATCGTCAATCCACATAGATATAGTGTTCAGGCAACCCGGCTTGTCCTATGTAACATGGTCCGCCCCTCCAACGGAACGTGTGCCCTCCGGGACGCTAACTCCACGGATACGTCCCAATACGCTGAGTACGCTGGACGGGCAGTGCCAAGTCTCCAGCGCGATCAAGGATGCAAGCGTTGGCTTGGTCATATCCTTGGCCCGGAAACTTTGTGTTGCAGTGAGGTCGCAGCCTGTGCCAAAAACAAGCCGCAATCACACACCCATGAAACAGCAAAAAGCGCGACAGTTTCTTTGTTTGTCGGGTGAACATGCTCTATGATGTATGCTTTTTCAATCAAGTCAGACACACAACTCCTTTATGCTCTTAACTTCGAAACCCCTCAGGAAACCCCCTTATCCCCACCCCCTTAACGGTCAAAACCTGGGGGGAGGGTGATGAATTTTGATTGGTACCTAGAGGGGGGGACAAATTTAATCTTTCCTGCAGGCGGCAAACCGCTCAAGCATTCTCTCGTGCTCCGGACAGCTGGACGAGCTGTGCCGGGGACAATAGCGCAACTCATTGATTGGGAGTGCGGACGGCTCTGCGTGCCACAAGGCCACAGTGACAAAACAATGTGAGACAGGGAAAACCGAAAAGCGAGAATCCCCCGTTTTGAAATTTATAGACGCTACGTCCCCCCTGAATTTTGTCATTAAGGAGCGGGGGGGAACCCCGTTTTTCGTTCATCTTCATCTGAGGATCCTGCTGCATGAGCCCTGAAACCTAAACCCCCTAAAGCCTTCATGAGTCCCGAAGCCTTTCGCTAGCGTTTGTGACCCGCTGAGTTCGGAGCCTCTTCTGTGCCTCTGTCAATGTAAGGAAAGCAAATCTCAAAGAAGGCTTCAAGCCTTTAAGGTTTCGAAGCTTGACTCCGGAGCCAACCACTTTTCAACGTTGTTCTGGACTTCGGGCTGTCGTGACTATCCCCTCCCCCTCTTGTTTACCTAATAGCCTGGCTGTTTTACATGATTTTTCAAAACGAGAATCCTTGGTTCCCGGGCCGAGACGGAATCAGAGTTCCGATCTTTGGGCTGGAACGTTGAAGGCCGGAAGATTCAGGGTAGGTTTCATGTCAGACTCAGAGTTTCCGAGCTTTGGGCTGCAGCCTGCAGCCTTGAAGGCTGGCGGCTTTAAGTTTCAGATCCTAGGGGGGGGGGGGGGGGGGGGAGTTTGCTTCCACATAGAATGAACTCCACACCCTTGCCAGCACCAGCGGCGTTGTTCCAGCAAGGCATGGGGCTTCTGGCCAGCGCGGGCTCCTCTTTTTCATTAAGAAAAAATAGTGATTTCGGGCTTTTGGCCGCAGCTCCGCGGGGCTTTGGTTTGGGAGTTTGGGTTTGGGGCTTTCGGGGCCCTTCCAAGCACGGCAGCCAAGACAGAAACAGTCGTCCTGAGGGGTTGGCTTCGGGTTGGAGGTTTTGCTGAGATTAGTTGCCCAGGTGGGCACACCACTGCACGGGCTGCAGCTCTGATATGTCCAGATTAAGGGCTGAGGGGTGCAGGGCAAAGAAGGTTGTGTTTCTAAAACGCTGATCATAGCCCCTACACAGTCCGGCACCTTGGAAATTAGTAAGACTGAAAATCCAAACCCTTACCGCAATGTGGCATCAGCATGTCGGATGTCGAGTGCCAAACACCTCAGGCTCGACTGGAGCGGCCGCTTGATTGACAACACCCGTGCCATGCCAACTTTGTACAAACATGTTTAACTGTCGAGTCGGTGGAGGGGTAGAAAACACACTCAAGAGGGGAGTTCAGTCGCTGGGCCCCTCTGGGCTGATGAGGGCAAACTTCGGGTCTCGTATTTTACATTAAAGTCTATATATGTTCTGACACAATATGCATTTCTATAAAAACATTTCTTTCCCCAATTTCTCCCCCCCCCCTCCGAAAAACAAACAAAAGTGGGGCAAAGGTCCTCCTGCAAGGGCCAGCTCAGCTCTGCAGCGCCCAGGGCCCAGTGCCGGCCGCGCTGGCCACGCTGCTGGACCTCGGCGCTGGCATTCCGGTACCCTGCCCTAAACTTTTCTCGTTTCCGTACATTTACTCCTTTAAGTTGCTGTTTACTACTCCTTTTTTGCCGTACAACCTCAACCCATACCTGTACATATATATATATATATATACACGTACATATTTATATGCCTTGAAGGAGTCTTGTTGACATCGCCCTTTCGCCATGAGGGTCTCGGGGAAGCTTTGCAACGCGGGCTTCAGGCTCACGCACTCGTTGGACTTGGGGCTTTGGCCGGAGAGCGAAGGCCACAAAACGACAAAGCGACAAGGATGTACTGTATTGGGCCCTCTGTTCCAACATGAAGTGCTAGATTCGCCCTGGGCAATCCGTTCGGGCTACACCCCGGATGGGGTATAGCCTGCCGCACGACCAAAACTGCACTAATTTCATCTAATTTCAAGAGGTCAGACCCTTCATCAGAGATTGGCCATGCGAAACCTCATCAACGCCCACCCCAGATGCTGGAAGATCCCCTAGTGTATGATTGCGGCAATTTTTGGCAGGTCCGTTTGCAGAACTTCAGGCGAAGCGCCAGGATCTTGAAGGATGCCCAGGCATCGACGCCTGCGATGTACATGTTGGGATTTGGGGCTTTGAGTGTGTGTTTTTGTTTTGGTTTGTTCTCTGCCGGTGTCTAGTTGGGCACATAATTTAATATGGTTTCAGGTTGACCGAGCTCAAGGCTCACGTCGGAAGCTGAGGACGAGGCGAAACATGCAACGATTCTCTGCCCCTTTGAAAGCCGGTGCGGGTGATCACTGGCTGGGCTCCCACTCCCAACTGTTGGGGAACCTTTCCCTGCAGATCGTGGCCTGAATGGCGATACCACGCCTCAGGAGGCCAAGAAGAAAGCACACCAAGAGAAGGGGCGCGGAGTAGCTTGCCACGCTGTAGAACGTACATCTTTTTGATGTGCATACCTCCAGTCATTGACTGGTGCGGACTGGTGCCTTGTCTATGAGCACCTCCACCTAGTCTCATAGAGCCTAGAACTCACAGAATAGAGTGCTTGTGCTTGTCCCCGGCAAAGCTCCGAAGCTGCCTCCGAAGTTGCTCTCAGAACGCTGACAATTCAGAATCCTATGATTAGGCGAATTCCAGCGCAAACAGAGTGCTACTTGGGTCTGGGCTTCAGGTTCAGGGCTTAGACTGTCTTTATAAGTGGGATGCCTTGGCATGTGGTGTTTGTTGTTACGCGTAGAGATCCGTTTCGGGATGTCCGGGCGCCCGGGCGTGGAGGCCTACCGTCCTGGGACCACCCGCGCGCTCGAGCAGATTTGCGATCGGCCGCTGCAACCTTAGCGCTGCGTCCGGGGCTTAGGAAAGCGAGGGGCGCTGTGACTTGAGGACAACTTGCACGTCGTAACGCTGATGTCACGGCTGGTTCTTTCCTTTTAATGTGCCGGGGATCCTTGGCATGAGCGGAGTCCACGGGTTTCGGCTAGAGTCTCGGCTAGAGTCTCAGGAGGCTGCCCACTTGAGTTTCGAACGAGATAAGGTTGCAAGTTGCAAGGCGGCGCAGAATGCAGAAACTGCATGTTGCCGGTGGAGGAGCCGTCGCCAAACCGCAAAACCCCCAAACTCCAGCGCCGAACTTGAAAAGAGGGGCCAGGAGTCGTGGGCCAGCTCCAGGTGGAAGATGGGACCATAGGCTCGGGTGGTCCACTGCGCCAGCTGCCCTTAGCCAGCTACCGACATGCTACTGACAGTCCAAGAACAACTGCCGATGTTTATATGAATTCAACGGCGCCGTGACAAAGTTGGCGCAATTCTGAGCTCCACGTGATGGCATGGTGCACGCCGGTAAGTGCAGTTTTTCAGTCAGGGCATGGAAAGCCGGGCGGCGTCCTGCTTCAGCAGCTTCTGTGAAGTCTACCGTCATGGTGATGTCTTGGAGGCCCGGGCATTCCTGGGCCATGTCGACTCAGAAATTTGAAGAATGGCTCTGCTTGGGCGACATCGCCAGGAGGAAGGGTGATGCTAGGAAGACCCAAAACATTGGGCCTGTGAATCCTTCATATTGAAGGGCCGGAGACGGAGAGAAGGCTTGCGATTTCGAGGTTGTTCTGCTCTGGCATGTTTGGAAGAGGCAGGGTTCTAGGCGACCTGTGCGAAAGCAGCAACGGCTACAAAGCCACAAGGGTCAACACTGTGATAATCCCGGACTCAACCCGAAACATCCCTAAGCCATCGGCTCGTCTGCCACCAGGAGGCCAAGTAGGAAGCCGCGCACTGCGATGTTGCCTGGCGGGCATCCATGATGTGGATCCCCTCGTGATTCCTCGGCTTCGGCTTACAGTCGACATCGAACTTGTCCAGCGCCCTTGCAATCGTGTGCAATCGTGTGCAATCGTGTGACTGTACCAGTACCAAGGCTCGGATGCACCAGGGCTTGCCAAAGCAGGGCATCGGCATCGGCACCATAATCCATAGACACCAGGAAGCCCTCATCCACCAAGGCACCTAGGGCATTCTGGTGTTGCTCAGAGAGCTACTTGGCCCTGGGTCGCCTGGTGACGGCATTTCACGAAGGTAGCCCCATGCGGTCGGCCTTTCCGGCGTTATCGACCGATCGACGGTCGTCAGTTGCGCTTTGGTCCAAAGCGCTGGCTTCTTGCACGAACTGCGCATGGCCGGGCTGCACCAGGAGCTTCAGCTGCAGCGTCCCTGGAGCGACGCGGTTTTTTGTTGGTGGTTTAGAGCACAAAGATGTACAAAGGGTTCGGCTCAAGTCTTCTGCAGGATTGGCCACTGGCAACGAGGCCTACTTGGCCAGGGTGTCGAACCTATCATGATGTCACCCGAGGAAAGCGCGCCACCTTCTCCTCGCCGAGACCAGCGCTTGTCATAGAGGTGCGCGACCTGTCGT